AAAAAGGGCCCAACCGCGTGGGGGGAGGCGCGGCACATGTCTATAAGTGTGCCACATGTGTCTCAATATTTTTTTTTTATATAAAAATATTTATTTGGCCATAAGTGAACTTGAGAATAAAGAGAAAAGCTTTGTCAAAAGATAAAAAAAATCCCTTTAAATCATTTTTTTTCTTCTAATGAACATCTTAATTGTTTCATTGTGTTTTTTATTTTTTTATATTTAATAAAATACAAAATCAGCCTTCATTTTACATTAAAATAACAAAAAAATTATTTTAAAAAATACAATATTACCACTTAATGCCGGTATTGAAAATTTTATTTTTAAAAATATTTTATTCTTTTCACTATGTTTTAAAATACCAAAAAACATACTTATTTCTAATTAATTTAATAATAACTGATGTACCATATATATATATATAAAAAAAAATCTTAATGCCTGAATAGTGACAATGAATGTGGATCTATAATATTTCTAAATCCACGTTTAACTTTTGCTAATTAACGTTAGATATATATGATCAAGAAGGTGAAATAATTGAGAAAATTTTGTGTATTTTGCCTATTAGCACCCAAGAGCAAATAAATAAATAAATAAATTGTAAAAAAACACTTGTAGAAAAAATATTAATGAAATGGCATATGTTCATAATTGTTTGCTATTCCCAAACAAAATAGTGAAAAAATCATAATTAAAAAACATAATATTTGATAAATTTCATGTTTATGAATAGGACATTTATGAAACCCTAAATTACTCTTAAATTAAAACTCTTAACAATATTATTTGTCAAACCCTAACTCACCAAAAAATAACCATGTAATCATTAAAATTTTCTCTGTGATCCCTCTCGAGAATCATTCTGAAATTTAATTCTTTGTTTCCCAACAATAATCTAGACAACATTTCAAACCAGTAAGAAGGCAAGGCTTTGCCAAAAAAATTTATGAACAGTGTTAATTTTAAAAAAAATAAAGGATATTGCTGTTGCATCGGACACAAAGCATTTCCCAGAAATCAGCAAAGAATTAGTGCATTGCGTGGGTGTCTCTACGACTGGTCTGCTCTTTCTGTAATACACCGAAATTGGGATAATGGTGAATTGATGAAAGTCCAATGACAGAATATCTTTTACTGATTTTTCAAAGTTCAAGATTCGATGATAAGGATGTAATTAAAAGAAATTAAAAAAATAAAAAGTTTTCAAGGAATCAAATTGAAAGAACAATCCGAAGATAAATTTCTGGGCAGATTCGAGATGATACCGACCTTCAGGGTGATGAGATTTGCTTCAGAGCATTTTCCTGCCTCTTATCTCATCTTTCTCCCCACCAAGATTAGAAGATTTGAATTCATGTAGAAGATTTGCAAAGGCAATCTGTGCTTGTCGACTTATATGGAATTTGAATTATCTTCTCCCTGAAACGAGGTCGTTTGATTCTCCATTTGACATTCTCTCTTAAACTGATCTTGCGTCGTTTTGGTGAGGAGAAATTAGGTTCTTCAGCTTCCATCTTTCCAGTTCTCTGGTCTCTCGAGAGAAATCAGGGCTAGCAAGAAGAAAAAATTAAGGATTTTGTTTTCTTCAAGCCCTAGGATCACTGCACCTTCGTGTGATGATCTTAGTCCATTATAAAAAGTTAATTTTTAAAATATTTTTAATCATCACATTAAAATATTAAACAAATTAATTGAAAACAAAAAAAATTACTTTTTTTTCAGAAATACATTTGTACCGGGAAACAAACAGTGCCTTAGTATTACAAACTCCTGCCATGGTTGTGTTGGGATATCAGGAAAGTACACGGACCAGGTATTCGCCGAAGACGGTAATGTAATGCTTGAAACCAAACATTGGTTTTCACAAATATTGTCTGCTGAATCAAAAAAAGACGGAAAAAAATCAACTGCCCCATCCATGACCTAGCCCATATGCATCCATGTAACCAGCTCCATGAGTCTGAGCATGACCATGACCATCATGATGGCCGTGACCACCATGGCCGTGATGATGGTGATGGTGGTGATGACCATCCTTTGCCTCGTCAAGCATTTTCTGTATATGCTCCGGAATAGGTTCTTCTTCAACTCGCCTAACTGATTTTGGCAAGGAGGAAACAAATTTGACAATATTCTCAGCTAGCTCATCAGCAGCATTTTCCTGAGATCACCAAAACAAAATGAAAACTAGACTTAGAATACAAGGAATTCATCACTAACCCTGGTGATGGTAAAAAGATCAGCAGAAACTCATCGTATAATTTCATGAATCATGTTCCTTATCAAATTCTATTTTTAAGTATAGCGCTAAGCATCTATGGAAAGATTAGGGTGTCTCTTCTAACAATCATCATATGTTAAGGTTTATTTTGGCTGTTGAAATATCTGGGGACAAATTCACTATTTGCAATCAGCTCATCTAATTGGGAGGACAGTTTCAAGAAGGCAGATAAATCCCTGTTAAGTAACCAATTAGGGATGAGATGATTCAAGAAGAACAGATAAGTAACATCTAGAACCTGAAATCTAATCATCACGACAATTATTCTCCAGTTCTATTTGGTTGGTGATGCAGTCTGTTTATGAAGAAGTAGTAGGAAGAAGTCATTGTTCATCGAAGTCAGCTCCAAACCAATCTTATACATCAATCAGTAGTCCGTAGTACAAACTAAATGCAGGCATCTCTAGAAACTACCAGCAATGCTCAACTACACTCTACTTCAACCTAAATGGTTTATTATCCGTAGTACAAAAGAAATGCAAGATTTCAAATGGTTTATTACTTTGAAATCCTAAACTTGTTTTGTTAATTTTTATGAATGCGGTACAGGAAAACCCAAGCAGAAACCTTTGTTGATGCACCCACACCACTGTTGGCTTGCTGCTCTAGGCGACGGGATTGTTTGAAGTCATTATCGAGCAAGACTCTTTTGTGGAATCAGAGTCAGTTGTTGCAAAGCTCTTTGATAGAAAGGATGATGATACTGTCTAAAATAGGATAGGGCAAGGCAACTGCTTCAAATCTTCCCACAGATGGAGGAAGAGAGCCGGGGGCATGTGCAGAACAGGAGGCCACCATTCATATAAGAAGTATAAGATGGTCCACATTATACAACAAATCTTGGGATTGAATCTTCAATATCAAATTTAAGAGCAGCAAGACAAGCTAGTGAGAAGGAATTACATGAAAATTGAAATAATTAGGTAAATCACAGGAGAGAAAGAGAGAGAAGTTAAGGGGGGTGGCGGTTGAAACAAAAATAAAAGGGAAAAGGTGTCTTAGGGTTTAGTTCAGTTTCTATTTATACCCCTTGTATTTTTAGTTGGGTCAAATTTGGTTGAACCAGTTCACTAGGTTTTAGCTTTGTGAAACAGAAACTGAACCGGACTGGGTGATTTTTTTGTTTCTAAATTGGTTTCTTTGGTTTTTTCTCCCAGTTCGGTTTTTTCAGTTGTTTTTTTATCAGTTTTTTCAGACACGCCTATGTGTGTTTGAGATCTGTCAAGCTATACAATGTCTACAATCAAGCAAGTATAGAGATTAAAATGTGAAGATTTAACCTATGTCACTAAGTGAAATACTTATTAAAAGCAACTAGGCTCATATCATTCCCTCCATTACATGCATTTCTCCATACAAGAGAGTTACATTATGTTCTCTCTTCGTCACATGATAGGTTCAAGGTGTCTGGTAGAAAAGGAACAAAAACGAGTTAAAAGCAGGTTTAAAACAACGAAAGGAAAATTGAGAAGATGGGTAAAGGAGGCTTTGGTTTATTTGCGACTTCCTCTTATTAATCAAAACATTAAATGGGCATGCAGACACCCAGATAAATTCTAATTCCTCAGCAAATAATACGAATTAACAAACAGAGCCATTACAAAAGCCAAGATCAAGCCCAATTCTTTCACTGAAAAGACTAGGTAAATCTTATAGAAAAGCTAACACTTTTTATGAAACTCTTTTCGAAGACCTGTGAGGTTATGTTTTTTGGAAATTTTGTTGTGAGAACATCCAGAATTTGCAACCAGTTCATTGGAATGGGAGGACAGTTTTGACAAAGCAGACAATTTGCTCTTTTCATCAATTGGGGACGAGTTAAGAGGAACAAATATAAATAACATCTAGAAAATGGATCAAATCATCCAAACAATCTTTCCTAGTTCTATCTGGTTAGAACCAGGACCATGTTTGAGAAACATAGGCAAGCAGTCATTTTTCATTGACGGTGGCTCCAAACATGCTGTATATGTCAATCCGTAGTTCAATAATTCGGACCTAATTGTAGGGAACTCTAATATCCAACATAGTCCAGCAACCAAAGTCTCCACTAACCCCAACTTCAACCTATACTAAATGGTTACATATGATTCGATAATGGGTTTTACCTTATGCACATTGTTAAATACCGTTCATTCTAGTTATCTGTCAGACCAATCAAGACCCAAGATCAGCCATTGGTCTATGCGTTCATATAGAACCATTTTCACCAAGCATGATGCGAAATCCAAAAACATCCATTGTAAACTAAAATTTAAAATTCATACTCTCACAAATCACCATGCACAGTTAAAAACATACAATACAGCACAGTAAGAATTCTCACCTGAGGCCAGCGCCCACCAGTGTGTGTGACAAATTTAGCCTGTGGAAGCGCATCCGCTACCTTACGTCCTTCCTCGCTCCATTCTTTTGACCAACCACTACACCAAACAACCTGCATTGGGATTCCCTTTACCCCATCCAAACCACCCCATTCTGCAATATCAAAACTTGAATTCAATTTCTTGCCTGTAGCCACAACAGCTCTCCTCCCATCCCTCCCATTCAACATCATTCTATGTGCCGCCACATCCAAACCACCAATCCCCCTTGAGCAACACATTCTAATCAACCATTCGTACACAAAATTAACGCCTAAAACAACCTCTCTGACTACTGGCACTTCCAAAACACACAAAGGCAAAGCCGGCCTCAACCCTGTATCAACCAGAGTCACACTCCTAATCGATTCTGAATTCTTCAAAACCCAATTCGCCACCATTCCTAAACTCGAATCGTGCAAAACCAAATGCACAGGAGCTAACCCCAAGGTCTCAATCACTTGGCCTAAAACCAAGCCCATCTCTTCACTACCCAATACAATAGGCTTAACAACACTCCTTTTTTCACTATAATGAGACACAATCTCCTCATACGGAATCTGTCCAGTTTCAACCATGTTATCAAAAGCCCAAAAAATACCCTTTTCTTTAATCAGTGCATAGGCATCCTTAAACCTCTCGAAAAATCCATTTCCTCTCTCTTCACTAGCTTCCATAAACTTATCAGAAAACCCATTTCCAGGTAAATCAAACACAACCCCATGAACCCCTTTTGAACCCAAAAGGTCTAAAACTTTCCTAAAAGAAAATGAACTTAGACCCAACCCATGAACAATCACAACTTTTTCACTCACAAAATCTCTTTTACCACTCTCTAACACAAAAACCTCACTTGATGGCTGGTTTTGAGCCAGTTGGACTTTAATTGTACGCCCCTTTGAGTAGTGTTGGCGTAGTGGAGTGGAGAGGGAAAGGAAGAAACTTTTGGGGTCTGGATTTGAATAGAGAGAGGACAAACCAATAGCTAAAAAAGTGACAAGTGAGACTGAGACAGTGAAATAGAACCAGAAAACAAAAGGGTTGTTCTGTGTCCGTGTCTGTGCTTGTGTTTGTGGTTTAGTTTGTGTCATTGGCTTTGGTTTTGGCTTTCGTTTTGGATCTTTAGAAGGTGAAGTTGGTTCCTCTGTTGGTTCTCGGTCATTTTGAGGTTGTATTTCTGGTTCCTCTGTGATTATGGCCATTGTTAATGTTAAGAGACAAGAAGAGATCTATCGATCGAGAACTACAAATTACACTACAAAAGTAGAGAAAGGAAGGAATTTCGAGGAAGTTATCGAAATTTAAAAAAAAGTTAAACTTACATTCCAGTCTCCTATATATGGTAGATATTTCAAATTAACCATCAAACTAAATTTTCTTGTAATTGTACCATTCAATTATTATTATTCCACCAATATAATCTTTTGATTGGCTTGAAAAAGGATAATGGAATATCTTAATTTTCATCCCCTAATTTATATTATGTAAAATTTTTTATTTATAATACAATTTTCCATGCCAAAGTATATATTTAAAGAAAAAAATTCATTAGAAAAATAAATAAAAATACAATTTGGATATTATAAACGCAACTTAGTATCTTTCTATTTTCATTAGAAAAATCACTAGGATTAACTTTAAAAAGTATTACTAGTAGAACAAAAAAAATATCTTATTTGAATTATAATATAATTTTCTTTTTTTTTCTTGAAGAATAGATATTGAATTGATTGATACTTTATAGTATATTTATTTTAATGATTAAGATATTCCTAATAAAAACCAAGATTAAATCTTTTATTTCAAATTTTGAACAAATCATTTATACATAAACAGTGTGTTTTTGTGTGTATAAGAAAAATTTTGCTTCCAATTAGTCTTCTTTTGACTTAAAAGAACATGAAAATAAACCAATTCAGTTAACTTTTCCAAACGGAACATAAAAGAGGGACCACAATGCCAAAATAGTAATCATTAAGTAGCATAATTGAAAGAATCTACAGTTTCAGACAAAAAATCCTAAACAGGGTGTCGTTTATGAGGTGTCATCATGAATTTCTGCAAGAAATGAAAAAAGGAGTGAACTTTATTGCCCTTTACACTAAAAAAGACCTTATCTTTCCCTTCCATTTCTCTCTGTGAGTTTTTCTAACATGCACTCAATCCCATCACCAGCAGTGATGCATCCTCTTTCTCTCTCAGCTTCTTCTCGCTTTCTCTCTCAAAAACTTTTAATTCCAAGTTCCTTTTTTTCAAATTTCAAAACAACCCACCGAAGATTTCACACAAATTTCACTAAAGTCCCTATCATTATCAGAAATTGCACTAGCCCTCCAGTCTATGCAAAACCATCTTCACAGATTAGACGGAGCCGTGCAAAAAAGTGGGAACCGGACGAGAAGCTTCAAGCTCTACGTGAGTTGTTCTCTAAGCCTGGGATTGGAATTGATGCTTATATTATACCTTCTCAGGATGCTCACCAAGTAAGGCTTTTTTGGCTAAACTTTTATTTGGGTTTCTGTTTTTGGTGTATTTTTTGTTAAAATTCAACTGGGTTTTGGATTTTTTTATGCATCTGTATTGGTGTTTGAATGTTATAGTGATTTGAAGTTGTAGGGGTGCATGCTGGGAATTTATGATATGCAGCTAAAGTATATTTTTCTTGGTGTATTTTTGTTTGAAGTTAAATGGGTTGTTTTGTTTTTTACTATCGTATTGAAAAAATGGTGTTTTCCGGTGTTTTTAGTAGTAAAATTTGGAGTTTTTATGAAATGGAATTATGCTCTTTGTGTTAATTTGTTGAATTGTAATAGTTCAGCTTATTAATCACTCTAGTGTTAGCTAATTTTGTGTTTTTTGAATGTTATTACTTATTAATGAATTATTGATACTAGAGCATCTGCATTTGCTGGATATGCTTTAGGATTGTCCGGCTTATGCATTACTACGATATTACTGGGGCTTTGTAATTTCTTCTAATTAGCCTTTCCCATTGTGGTTGCTAGAGTGAATTCATTGCTGAATGTTATATGCGGAGGACGTATATATCAGGGTTCACTGGTAGTGCCGGCACTGCTGTTGTCACAAAGGAGAAAGCAGCACTTTGGACTGATGGTCGATATTTTCTCCAGGTTTGAAAGAATAGTTTATTTTTAATTAAAGTGGAGTTTGTGGTTCCAACTGGAGATGAAATGGTATTTTTAATTTTTCTTTTCCTATAATGATTAGGCTGAGAAGCAATTGAATTCTAATTGGATTCTCATGCGGGCTGGTAATCCTGGAGTCCCGACAACAAGTGAATGGCTTAATGATGTTTTGGCTCCTGGGGCCAAAGTTGGTGTTGATCCTGTGAGCAATTTCTCAACCTGCTCCAATTGAATTCCCCTAGTTTCCTGCTCTTATGTTTCTGGTGTAAATTTATGTTGAAGTTCTGGTATTCATTACTTGATCATCATTCATTGTTTTTTAGCACATGCTGAATCATTTTCTGTTTCTGCATGCGAGCATGTGCAGATTTTGCTTGCAAACTTTTTTCCTTCTATTAGAATAATTTGCTTTCCAAATGTTAATTGTTCTAATCATTCCTTCAACTCAATTTCTGTGTCTATAACCATCAGTTCAGGTATGATATCCATTAACTCTATCATTCTTCAACCTTGACAATGTATGATGCCATGTCTTTGACTTTGTGAAGGGAGCAGTTTCTTTTCTCTTTTGATGCCGCCGAGGAATTGAAAGAAGCTATAGCTAAGAAAAATCACAAATTGGTTTACTTGTACAATCCAAATCTCGTGGATGAAATATGGAAGGGATCAAGGCCAATGCCTCCAAACAAACCAATAAGAATACATGAATTAAAATATGCTGGTGTAGATGTTGCATCAAAGTTGTCTTTCCTAAGGTCCGAGCTCCTTGATACTTGTTCATCTGCAATCATTGTCTCCATGCTTGATGAAATTGCCTGGTTGCTGAATTTGGTAATTGCCTCTGCCCCTTCTTTTTTGAACACATTCTCTTAGACATTGCAGCAGTAGAGGTGCTTGCAAACCTTATCTTTACATTACTGTAATCTTTGCTACTTCAAAACTAATCTAAAATAATGTCAGTGCTATTGTATTCTGGAATTTTTATTGATTTGTCAAACTTACACAAAGCAATAATTCAGTTTTAAGTTAGTCGTTCAATTATACTTCCTACTTCTGTACTTATTATTTGACTTATTTCTAAATGATGATCTGTGTATCTATTTATTCTGCAGAGAGGAGGCGATGTTCCTCATTCACCTGTTATGTATGCATACTTAATCGTAGAGGTTGATGGAGCCAAATTATTTGTGGATAACTCTAAAGTCACGCCAGAAGTGTTGAATCATCTGAAGAATGCAGGTGTTGAATTGAAGCCATATGACACCATCCTTTCTGAGATAGAAAGGTAAATGCTATAGCTTTTTTCTTTCCAGCAGCACTGGAAACATTCCATGTATTATTGCTGGATATTATTAGGTAGAAGTTACTCTCTATGTTCATGCTTAAAGAAGCTTGTTTCTATTGATGAATGGACAGTGTCTGTGAGACAAAATGAAGTGTGCCATGTTTCATAATATGTACATAGATGCCTATACAGATGTGTACCATAGTCTAGAATGTGTGATTTAGTCTCTGGCACTGGACATGGAGTTACTTCTTCTTGTATATGCTGGCAGGCTTATTATGTGACCATACTCTGAAATATGCATTTTCTCTCTCTTTCAGTTTGGCTGCAAAAGGGGCTGAACTTTGGTTTGATACATCTTCAGTTAATGCTGCTATAGTCAACACATACAAGTCTGCCTGTGATAGGCATTTTGAAATCCATGCAAGTGATCGTAAAGGTAACTTACATAATGGTTCCAATGATCAATCTTGGGGACCTTCTGGAGTTTACAGGGCGTCACCCATCTCTCTGGCAAAAGCTATGAAAAATTCTGCTGAGCTAGAAGGCATGCACAATTCTCACTTAAGGTACTTCTGTCATTGGAACCTATTTTGTGTTCATGATTGTGAAAGCTGCATTGTATGTTATTGTCTGTCCAACACTTGAATGTTGTGTTAATTGAATTCCAGGGTTGGGTATTCTGCACAAATTAGCATGCCTTAAAAACTGAGATTGAAAATAGTGTTATTCATCAAAGGTCAAATTTTCCGAGCAGTTTTATATGCAATTGCATGAAGTCAAAGCTTCTGTCTTTTCTGCATCTACATTTGATTCTCTCTCCTTCTTGGGAGATTTGATTCTCTCTCCTCCTTGGGAGAACTTTCAATAAAATTATCTTGAAAAATGAAGCCCTGTCCATATGTGTCGTTAGTATACACAATCTTAAATGTGTGGAATAAAATTTTATGGTTTGTTAACCTTGAGAATTTTTTGTATCTCGTTATGTCTGTTGTTATCATGCCAAATTTGTGGAATTCTTAGTGAGAATGATATCATGCTTTGGATGAAATTTTCTAGAAAAGATAGTAAGCGAGCACAGGATAATGGTTCTTTAAGGATGAAAAGCATCTGCATCTTCAGTTCTATACCTGTTTGTATAATTATTACTTGCCAAAAAATAATAGCTAATGATGTTTACAACACATGCTCATTGTGATACTTAACATGCAGGGATGCAGCTGCTCTAGCAGAGTTTTGGCTCTGGCTGGAAGAGGAAATTGACAAAGATGTGAAACTAACAGAGGTAGATGTCGCAGACAAACTTCTTGAATTCCGTTCAAAACAGGCTGGTTTCATTGATACTAGCTTTGATACAATAAGTGGTATATTATCTTTTTTGAAACTCGTAACACATTGAACAGGATCATTGTTATAATTTGTTTCATTATTAGGATGATCTGATCTTGCAGGTTCTGGAGCAAATGGTGCTATCATACACTACAAACCTGAACCAGAGAGTTGTAGTGTTGTGGATCCAAAAAAGCTCTTTTTATTAGATAGTGGAGCTCAATATGTTGATGGAACAACTGACATAACAAGGACAGTTCACTTTGGGGAACCTACTGCACGAGAAAAGGAATGCTTCACTCGGGTTTTGCAGGTGCTGGATCTTTTTTGGTCTAATTCATATATAGCACATCCCCAGGGTCGTACCATATAAAGGGGTGTTGCGGGGAATAGATAATTTGGCATCATAGGTTACAAAATTATTATTTAGACTGATAAGATTTATGCCATAAAATCCGCCCTCCCTTCCTCTGAAGCATACCACTTTGGATACATTTGCCTCTACGATTTATGTACAATGAATATGTTTGGTTTTTCTTACTTTTTTTATGGAAAAATTTGATATCTTCTAATGAACTATTGGAACAATTTGATATCTTCTAATGAACTATGAGATTTCAGGGTCATATAGCTCTGGATCAGGCAGTATTCCCTGAAAATACCCCTGGTTTTGTATTGGATGCATTTGCCCGTTCATCTCTTTGGAAGATAGGGCTTGATTACCGGCATGGTACTTGTACTGCCAATTTGTAACTGGACTGAATTTTGTGAAGGGATACATTTCTGACTTGATTTGAGGAGGAGGAATAAAGTTTTAATTCACATGCTCCTTCCTCCTTCAATCTGTTAGGTACTGGGCATGGTGTGGGAGCAGCATTAAATGTTCATGAAGGTCCTCAAAGTATTAGCTTTCGATATGGAAATACGACTCCCTTGCAGAAAGGAATGATAGTAAGCAATGAACCAGGGTACTATGAAGATCATGCTTTTGGCATTCGAATTGAGGTACTATAATAATCCAGCTACATCTCCTTGGATTAGAAAATCTACCGTAGCTACAACATCACTTGATTGTTTAACTCTAATAATGAGTTTGTCCGTTTCATTTGAAACTTGCATCTATTCTTGGTTGGGGCCTTAATGCTATTTTTTTCTCAAGGATCATGCACCATAAATACAGTGATAGAAAAGAGAGAATCTGTACTGTAATACTAATAGATGCAGAACAACCACATTATTAATGTAGTTTGAAGGAAGCATGGTTTCTCTGTCATTGACACTCTGGGGAATTCTGTATACCTGATAGTCATACTTTCTCAATATTTTATTTACTGTAAACCTTGAGTTGGTGGTTGGGAAATTTGTTTGAATTCTCTTTTTTTTCTTGTCATGATTGGATGGGCAGTAGGCTTATTGCTTTGTAGAAATGTCCAGTGCTTGGTAGACACACAAAGTGTAGGGGGACTCATGCAGCCAGCCCTAGAGTTGTATATTCTATTAGCTTAGTTGAGCATATGCCTTAGCACACTCCATATACCCCTGTGAACTTTCATGCCCCATGCAAACACACTTGGACATATGTACTCTGCTTGGCTTGTTTGTACAACTATTTGGATATTGTTGATGGTACAGTTGATATTTGTTGCCTTTGTCCACTGTTCTGCTTAATGGTTGATATATAACATCTTCCTCATTATTCATGCATTTTCTTGTGTTTGATCTTGGTTCTCTTCTTGCAGAATCTCCTTTGTGTTAAACAGGTTGACACCCCAAACTGCTATGGAGGAATAGAGTATTTGGGGTTTGAAAAACTCACTTACGTCCCCATCCAGGTATGCTAGTGATCACCTGGTAAAGTTTAACATGCAAATTGTGAAGTTGTCAAAGAGACGAAAGTATTGAATTTTCCTTTGTATGCACCACAACAGAGAAATTGAACCGCTGCCGGAACTTAAGTTGAAGTGAGAATATAACCTTAGGTTGCTAGAATAGTTGATTTTATTTGATATCTTACTTTGATCTCTCGTCTTGATTTTTTTTTGTTTTTTTGTAGCATTTATCTCTTCTTGAATTTTGTGTTTTGGATACACTCGATCCCTAGATTTATTTTTTACGAAGCGGTAATTATATTCCAGTTCTTGCTTGTCACGAACTTCTGTCACTGGTCATTGCAGACTAAGTTAGTAGACTTGTCCTTGCTCACTGTTGCGGAGGTTGATTGGCTCAATAATTATCACGCGCAAGTTTGGGAAAAGGCAAGTACACATTGACCAATATTGTAAACAGTCGTATGCTTCTATTGTAGTTACAATTTACTTGCACATAACTGATTGTATCATAAGAGAAATGGAGAAGAAAGAAAAGCATTGATGTTTCTTTATTTGTAACTTAGAAGTTGGTCTATGAATTTGTTGACAATGTTTTAGTTCAATTCGTGCTTCTCATCAACGAGGCTGAAACCTGAATAGCTTTTGGGCACAATCCATGCCACCAATCACCCCCCCCCCCCCACCTCCCC